TCTACACACTAAAATAATTAAGTTTATCTGCAGCCAGCTTGTCCAATAATAAAACAAGATCAGCTCTATCAATTTCATACTCATTTTAACCTAAAACAAGAGTCTTCAGCTCACACGTGCTCAAAAGCCCGGACGGCATGTAGGTTACACGGTTTCGTACTCAAGTATTTTATGTTGGCTTTGAGACTACTTCACGACTAGTCTACAGTCTAGGCTTACTCATAGAGCACTTTTGCTGGTAAAATTTTATTGTGACGAGTAGCTTTATAAAGGGATATTATAAATTGCATATCAAATAAATAATCGCCTATCAATACATATTCATCATTTATATTATTTTTTACATCAAATATCTTACTTCACTACAAATAAACTAAATGTTTAACAATACATAAACTGCAGACAATTCGAAACTTTACATCAATATGACATAACTTTTTTCCTCATAATACAATACAGATAAATTTATTTTTGTACAAAAATACTACATACATAGCATGAATACTGACTGCACAGCAAATTTTCCATATTTCATAGCAAAATACCTATACCAGTCGCATATTAACCAGTAAACATACGTAAGTAAACATAAGTTTATAGGTCCGTTAGGTATAGCCTAACCGAACCTGGCGCGGAAAGCGCCAGGTTAGGTTGTTAGGTTAGGTTAGAACTTTGACCACAACGCACGAGCCGAGCGAGCGGAGCGAGCCGAGCGAGCGAAGCGAGCCGAGCGAGCGGAGCGAGCGTGCCGCGGCAGCGGCCGGCTATGTGCCAGAAACGACACGCTATGCGCGTCATCAATTTAAAATATGATTATCGATGTGCATGATTAACGATGATGGTTCATCTCTAATAAAAACTGCTGTAAATAATATAAAAATAGAAGCTATATTTGAAAGAAAAAGAGTTAACAGGTATAATGTGCATTAAGATTATTAGCTGTGCATTGATGAAAAAGCTTTTGCTTTAGGAAAAATCGCTGTACGGTGCGAAAATAAATTGTAGTGTATGTAGTGATATTTTGAGTTGAATATTATGCTGTGCAATCAGTACTTTTGATGGGAATTTGGAATCTTATTGCATAGAAAAAGGATATTTTTTGATTTGCGTTTAAATACTACCCCTTTATAAATAATCTAAGCTTCAGTCTTGAAGACCGTGCTTTAGAGCCCCGACGGCATGTAGGTTACACGGTTTGAGACTCAAGTGCTTTATGTCGGCTTTGAGTCCACTTTACATCTAGCCTAGAGTCTAGGCTTACTTACGGAGCACTTTTGCTGGTAAAATTGTGACGAGTAGCTTTATAAATAATCCAAGCTTCAGTCTTGAAGACCGTGCTTAAGAGCCCGGACGGCATGTAGGTTACACGGTTAAGAACTCAAGTGCTCTGTTGGCTTTGAGTCCATTTCACTTCTAGTCTAGAGTCTAGGCTTACTTATAAAGCACTTTTGCTGGTAAAACTGTGACGAGTAGCTTTATAAATAATCTAAGCTTCAGTCTTGAAGACCGTGCTTAAGAGTCCGGACGGCATGTAGGTTACACGGTTTCGTACTCAAGTCTCAAGTGCTCTGTTGGCTTTGAGACTACTTTAGAGTCTAGGCTTACTTATAAAGCACTTTTGCTCGTAAAATTGTGACGAGTAACGTTATAATAATCTAAGCTTCAGTCTTGAAGACCGTGCTTAAGAGCCCGGACGGCATGTAGGTTACACGGTTTTGTACTCAAGTGCTTTATGTTGGCTTTGAGACTACTTCACGTCTAGTCTAAAGTATATGCTTGCTTATAGAGCACTTTTGCTGGTGAAATTGTGACGAGTAGCTTTATAAATAATCTAAGCTTCAGTCTTGAAGACCGTGCTTAAGAGGCCGGACGGCATGTAGGTTACACGGTTTGAGACTCAAGTGCTCTGTTGGCTTTGAGTCTACTTCACATCTAGCGTAGAGTCTAGGCTTACTTTTCTGGTAAAATTGTGACGAGTAGCTTTATAAATAATCTAAAACTTCTTGAAGACCGTGCTTAAGAGCCCGGACGGCATGTAGGTTACACGGTTTCGTATTCAAGTGCTTTATGTTGGCTTTGAGACTACTTCACGTCTAGGCTTACTTATAGAGCAGTTTTGTTGGTAAAATTGTGACGAGTAGATTTATAAATAATCTAAGTTTCGGTCTTGAAGACCGTGCTCAAAAGCCCGCACGGCATGTAGGTTACACGGTTTTCGTACTCAAGCAGGCCTGGCGCACTCCGCTGCGTAGGTATAGATTTACAAGTACGTGCGGCGACACCCGCGGGGAGGTTAATCAGTGGGTTGCCGCACGCCGCTCGTTACGCACGCGCTCCCACGTTGCCGCTCTTAATTCTTTCTTTGTACTAAATTTACGTAAATTACGCGAAAATATAAATATAAATATAATAGCTTGGTAGGTAGGTTAAAGGTTTCATAGATTACCTACCTACCTAATAAATTAACTAACTTACCTACCTACCTACAAGTAGAAGGTTCGTAATTTTGGAATGTTTTTTTTTTATAATTAGTAGGTAGGTAGCCATTACCACTACCATTCGCGTTTTGATTGTCTTTCAGTTCTTTACATAACACCTAAAACGAAGATTAGTAGGTAAGTACACTGAGATAAACTTCTTCGTAGGTGGTAGGTAGCTCTCGTCTACCTACATTTTCATTTCGAGTGGAACACCGAGTCGTCCAACGACCTGATGAACCCTGATGTCAGAGATTTTGAACCTATCTGCCTTCCTCCTTTAAAATTCGAAAGTGACATCCCCACTGAGCGCGCTGACTGTGACCTTCAAGACGCGCCAGCGGCAGAAGATCTTTCGCGCGCAGCCATTCGGCTCATTTTTGCTTGCGCGCGCGATGAGTAGGCTAATATAAAAGTAGGTATCCAAAATCGGCGCGAAGGAAATTGTACTTTATTATCGCGCGTAAAGATTTATATTTGTCGAATCGCTATGGCGGAGTGCGTCTTCTGTACCTGTACTATTATGTATTCTGTGACTCAAGTGCTGTTTGTTGGCTTTGAGACTACTTCACGTCTAGTCTAGAGTCTAGGCTTGCTTATAGAGCACTTTTGCTGGTAAAATTGTGACGAGTAGCTTTATAAATAATCTAAGCTTCAGTCTTGAAGACCGTGCTTAAGAACCCGGCCGGCATGTAGGTTACACGGTTTGAGACTCAAGTGTTCTGTTAGCTTTGAGTCTACTTCACATCTAGCCTAGAGTCTAGGCTTACTTTTCTGGTAAAATTGTGACGAGTAGCTTTATAAAAAATCTAAAACGTCTTGAAGACCGTGCTTAAGAGCCCGGACGGCATGTAGGTTACACGGTTTCGTATTCAAGTGCTTTATGTTGGCTTTGAGACTACTTCACGTCTAGGCTTACTTATAGAGCAGTTTTGTTGGTAAAATTGTGACGAGTAGATTTATAAATAATCTAAGTTTCGGTCTTGAAGACCGTGCTTAAGAGCCCGGACGGCATGTAGGTGACACGGTTTGAGACTCAAGTGCTCTGTTGGCTTTGAGACTACTTCACGTTTAGTCTAGAGTCTAGGCTTACTTATAGAGCACTTTTACTGGTATAATTGTGACGAGTGGCTTTAAAATTAATCTAAAACTTCTTGAAGACACGTGCTTAAAAGCCCGGACGACCGCATGTAGGTTACATGGTTTGGAACTTAACTGCTCTAAGTCGGCTTTGAGACTACTTCACATCTACTAGTAACTTCAAGTATGATGGTGTTGTAATCAAGCTAGACTGCCTATCAAAACATTATATTTTGTTACCCAACCCATAGGTATACTCAACCAAGACAAGTAATTTTATGATGAAGCTTTGGAAACAAAGCAGTGCAAATACTCTTTTGTTCATAAAGAAACGGATCAAATACCGCCATCTTGAATTAAACTTGTCAAAATACAATTTGCGACGGTTAATTTAAGATGGCCTACTTATTTCTTTTTGCCGATGAGCCGACTTTGAAATGCTTAAGGCGTGTTTGCCTGTCGTATTCGTCGCGCTATTTAAGATGACTGCTCTTATTTCGAGCGTGACTCGCGCTTTTCGGTTCCATTCAACCTGATCAAATCTCCTCGTAATGTGCAATTTGGAACGATGACAGTTGTTGTTACGTTTATGGGGACCGTTAAGGAGAAATTGGTCGGTTTCTTCACAGTTTGCTTCTTGGCATTTTGTGGTACGGAACCGAATTAAGAAACATAAGCAAGCGCGAAATTAACTTTGTCTAATTCATGTATGAGTCTCATCTAGATCAATGCTTGTTTTAATAAGCCTTATGATAACTTCTAATCATTATTTACCTGAACCATTATGCCAATATTAAATTCTTAAATTTACTATACTTATATCTGAGTCACCTCGTCTACTATTGCTATAAAATTACAGGGTATACTTTACCTACTATAATTATAGAACATTAAACTATGGTTTTATGCCAGTTTAGCCACTTTTAGCGAACTAGTATTTTTATTTTCTAGGCCCCAAGGCTGACCGTTTGATAAGTTAAGTTATCTTAGCTTAGATTTTCTATTATGAATTTTATAACTATAACTTCTAAAATTTTTGTAAATTTTACATAGAGTGCGCCATCATCAACTCGATTTTTGTCATGTTGGCAAATCTGATAGATAACTGCATAACCTACAAAAATGCTCTACTTTCGGAAAATATGGTAGATGCAAATGCATTTCGTTTCTATCTAAACTGTTAATGTCTAACTACATTGTGGCTACATGTACTGTACAGGTATTAGATTAATTAAAAACAGTACAGTCACACGTTGATTCTCATGTTAATAAAGTGTTCATCCCACAATGGAGATTATCCCCCGATAGCAGACAAAGGAGTGATTAAACGGTGAGACACAGTTTTAATCTGCTAGCTACTACTTTGACACTCGATTTGTAATACATTGCTGGTTAACTATAACAACCACATAAATTGAAAATGAGAAAATAGAAAAATTCATTAGCGACCGCCGGGACTTGAACCCGGGACCGTGTGGGGTACCGTCCCACCGCTCTGCCAAATGAGCTATGGGCGCGGTATTTAGTTGTAAAAACTTACTACTAGATGTCGCTTGATCGTCGCTTCGAAACGAGCACCAAGAGGCTAGGAAATTCATCAGGGTCCGCTAGGCGCCCGTAGCTCATTTGGCAGAGCGGTGGGACAGTACCCCACGGTACCGGGTTCAAGTCCCGGCGGTCGCTAATGAATTTTTCAATTTTCTCTTTTTAAATTTATGAGAATAATAAGTATAGCACTGTTAGTGCATTAAAAATCTCAATACATTATAACAACCACAACAGCCCACTGCTGGACATGGGCCTCCCCCTATCGCGGGGTATTGCCATACTCACCACGCTTGGCAGGCGGATTGGCGAACGCAGTGCATGAAGTTGCATTTACAAGGAACATTGCTGCCGATACACATACATTCCCTGGATGAATATTACTTAGTCGCTTTATACGACCCCCACGGGAAGAATTGGGGTGATGCTATTCTAAGCCGGCATCACACGGCTTCATTGCTGGTTATCTTGAGTTTATTATAGTGTCGCCCATACAAAACCAACGATGTATGTCAAATCGGACCCTGAAGCGATGATAGTATAATAGCCATTTAATCGCAGTCTACCGTTCGTCCGACAATACCTCGTTTTACTGATCGCACGTTTTTAAACCCTCAATCTGGGTTGTTCAGTCTATTTGCTTACAATGAAGACGTTTGTTTTACGCTTTTTACTGCTGTTACGGGACTTTTGAGGCAAGTACGAAAAACTTTATGAAAAAAAGTTCGTCTCATGATGCAAGCAATTCGTCAGAATGCCAATGGTGATAGTTTGGCGGCTCTTAAGATTAACCAACAGATTTTTACGGCGGACAGAAGTAATTCATAAAAACTCGTAAGTTATTTTGAGTCATAAGTGTCATAACCGATATTTGATCGAAAATGATTTGAACTCTACTTTTTTAACGGCCCATCAGCAATCCAAACAAAATTTTTTTTAGTTCCAAAATATTTGTGAAGGACCTTTCGATAAGATACAATGGCAATGGCGCCTGCCTGCATATTATCTAAGCACTTATCGTAATCATAACATAATAAACTAATCGACCACAGCTGACATTATTATCTTCAACAATACATTGTCCGTTTACGGGAAAATATGTCCAATGGTTCTGCGTAATAAGAAACGTAGTTCATTGAATTTGTATGAAATGCAAAGGTAATTCAGTGGTTCAGCCTGAATTTCTCACGGGCTGGAAATGCGTACACCGGAACGGGTGTCGCCATTATTTCTGTAGGCTTGTCGTCTGGCTTTAGAGATAATCTAGAACTATGATATAAGCTGACTCGTTTATCTGGATTATGAACATTACTACGAAACGCATTCGATTTGCTGTGTTTATTTTGATGACTTCTTGCTTTTTAAAAGAAATTTTAAAAAATTGGCCTATTTCTGTGAAAATTTCAACCGTCTTACTATTATCGTTCATCAGATACAGCTTCCAAACCATAATAGCTAAAATCGTCCAAGATAACAACGGTTTTTTGTATGGAAGCCCCCTTTAGTTCCGTTTTCACCCTTTAGGTACGACAAAAGAACTTATATTATAGTAAAAAAAAATCTTAGTCTACAATTTCAAAAAGCACAGCTTAAAGAAAGAATCTGGCTAATTTAACGATCGCTTGCCTAGCACTTGTTCGTTACTACGTCTATGCCGATCACTAGTTTTCCGTATTCTGCAGAATCTATTTATCTCATCAAAAAGATCTGTGTCACTGGTTCTGAAGTTTCCTGTCACTGACTGCAGAACAACGCCAGATGAGGGCACAGCTACCGGGCTTTTGTACGCCATTCCCGGATGGCATCGTTTTAAATTCCGCCACAATCGCAATTTGCGGTTAACGTGTTCGTGGAATTTTCATCTGGCTGCAAAATGTCGCTAGGTTTTTGTGGGATCATGACAGTTATCAAAATTGGCTCTGCATTTCCGTGGCTCCTGTCTGTAACTTTTCGCAATAAATCCTTGCTCTCGCTAGTCTAAAAAGCTCTTAAGACAGGCAATTGCGCTTTTATTTTTCGTTTTAGTGGAGCTTCTGTCTTCGCTAGCTGATGCGAGGGTTCCATTTTAGCCATCTATTTTAAATGGAAGTCTGCAGCAGATATCACCCGAGGACGGAATGTAAAATGTACAAAATAGCCACAAGCTCCTGTCTCAGTAACTCAACCCGTCTCGGTCATGGCAACGGGAGCAGTTCCGATTGGCTGCGGCCCTGGAACTCGATGCGAACTTCTGCTCACTGATTTTGCAAAATTCAGAGCCAATATTTTATCACATGATTGATCATTCCGAGCGAAAATGATTTATAAAGTGAACTGGCTTAAAGCAAATTGTTTTTCCAAATGTTGTCAACGGCTAGCATGATTGAGCACGCATTTAATGAACCATACTCGGGTGCGGAATTATCGCAAGTCGCTGACTCATTAATCACTTACTCTTGACCAATTTGTATTTTTATTAGGGTCGAAGAATTCCCAGTTGTTGTTATCATCGCGCATAATCGCTGGCACTCTGCGACATTGACAGTTTTGCACCAAACTGGTTTAGAAATGTGGGCTTGCGCGCGTGTGGGCAAATCAGGTCCGCCCTTTACGCAGCTTGCGATATTACGATCTCGCTGGTTTCCCTGCAGATGTCCATTTTGCTCAACTGGTTTTAGGACGTGCCCTTGGCTATTTACATGTTAATGAAGAAAGTGGAGCAAGCATATAAACTCTACGGATTTGTTTCGTGTTTACTTCGACGACATGATCATTGGCGGCGAACGAGACGACGCAAAACTCCACAGACGTATTAGATTGCGATAAGAGAACTTTCTTGTTATTTCGCGGGGCATATTAAAGGAGAAATTACGACCTCGGGCTGTTATAAACTCTGTTTATTACGCCGGGGAACGGAACAGCAACCGACAAAGTGGAATCTTCATTTCAACAATGTTGCCGGCTAATGAAACCTGAGAGTCCAGCGCCTTTAATACGGCGATTTGTTTATAAATGATATTGCATTTGCAATCAGTCCGCGAGCGGTGGAAAAACGAAAATTTTGGTGTGACGGGATCGGAGGCGGATCTGTTGTCCTGTGCGCATCGATTGATGTGTCTCCCGTTGGAATGTGCTCCTTGTGGGTTGGCTTTAGGGTGTGTTTGTGGTTTCCTGGGGTTGTGAGTTAGGACTTGTGGGTTCTGGTGCGGTGTGCGGAACACGCGGCCGGCCGGCGTCCGCAGTGCCGCGCCGGCTGCCGGCTCGCTCGCTCGTGTGTGTCATCCTCGGGGATATCAGGAGCATTCGGCGTCGTTCGTTCCCGTCGCGTTGCGGTAGGTTGCGTGCTATGTTCCGCACGAACCCATTTCGGCATGCGTGCGAATTTTTTTACCGAAAAAGTAATAGTGACAATGGTGGATTTTGTACATAAGTTGTGTGAATTTTGAGGATGTGACTTACTGATTGTACTGGTTTGTATTTTGGGATATTTTCTATCGTTTTTGGCGTGTCCACGACAGCGTTTCTATAAGGAGCTTTGTTTATTTATGTTGATGTTTCTCCCCTAATAACATTGGGGCTCGGTGTAATGAGCCGCGAGGGATGTTATCGGTTTCGTCGACATCATTACAGAGTCTGATGCCTACTGATTTGGGTTCTCATTGAAATTTTTCGGTCAGTATGTTGTTAGCATAAACTTTTATGACTGAACGAACAACGTTCACTAATGTATGCAAATTAGAACGGCAGAACTAAGAGAGGATAAATTCTTTGATGTTGTGTTTTCTAACATTTCTTGTTTAGTTAGGTCAGATAATTTTGTCCTGGTTTTATCACTAAACAAAATATTTACGGTGGGGTACGAAAACCGTAATACCCAGTTTTATGCTGTAAAAATGTCGTACTTTATGATGCTCTACATCCGCAAATCAATAAACGAAATAAGTGCAGAAGTGAATAAAACGGAATGTTTTTATGTACGGTGGAGAAATAAAAACATGGATATTAGAATTTTTATTTTTCGTGAGTCATTGATGATCTGATATGATCATACTGATCGATCATCAATCAATGGTCAGATCAGATTAGCCAATTTTGATGAAGTACCTAGCTATCTGTCGTAGAATAACATACCTATCATATCAGTATCAGTAGAATAAAATAAAAACCTCATTTTATGGACGTAGAGCTTGTCCCTAGCAAATCTTATTACAGCCGCCCCTGACTCTTATTTCTTTAGCCTAACAGAGAAGGATGATAAAATTTTGGCGAATGTAATTCTGCCAGATTAAACATAAATGCAGTAAGTCTATGGAATACATAGGCATAAATACAGTAAGTCTCTAAAGAATACATAGAAACTTACTGCATTTATGTGCGGTAGAATTGTAGAGTCAGTGGGTATTCTTTACCTAATGTAAAGAACTTAGATCAAGATTCAAGTAGTGCTGATATTTTGAGTTGTGCTATTGTATCTGAACACAAAGGCGTAATTTCTCTGGTTCACCCCGGATTCTCGAGAGATCACATCAATCTCGATCTCTGCCAATAGCTTAGCTTCAGGTTTATCGGAAACTGAGATGCCCAATGTATCTCAAACAAGTATTCATCGCGAGATACGTCTTGGTAGACCTCTAAATAGAATTTGCTTATCAATAGTTTGGCAAATGCAACAGCACGGAAAATATTTAAAGAAATAGGTACTTTAGTTACTTATTAGACTTGACTTCAATGTCCCGAGTATGATTTCTCCAAATCTAAATCTTTGCGATATGTCTAGTCTACCAACAGCAGTTCTTTCTTGGTTTCTGAAATACAAATCATTAAAATCTGTTGCAATACAAGACACGATGAATGTTTTTAAAATACGGCGTTCTTCACTCAATAATAGACTCAAGTGTTGATCGTACTAAGCGGTGGCTAACTGTGAACTGGTATATCGCAAATTGTTCTATATTTAGATGACCTGCTATTGGGTAGATACTTGTAGCTCGTA